TGATGGAGGAGTGAATGGATTTCTCTTCAGGGTCATCATGATAAAATATGTCTTTGAGCTTCATCTCACTTTGTAGAACAGTGATTCTGTGTAAACGCACATTAAGTGCTTTACAATGCCATCTGGAGCATTTTACCCTGCGATAAAACAAATGTCAATGTTTGATTTTCAATTCTTTGTGCAAAGCTAAGATGATGAACACACTCTGCTGCCTCACTAATTAATGAAATATTTATAGTTACGACGCTTTCACATGCTTATTTTATATTTTTCTTTAACTCTAAGAAAAAAAGTGTCATAGATTGAACGCCTGTGTATCAACTCTGCTTCTACTTAATTACACAAATGACCTTTTATGTTAAGCCAAATTAGTGTTGAGGTTTTTAATGAATGTGTGCATCAGATACATTAATTGTTCAAGTGTTAAAAAATTACATGACCAAGCACAAAAAGGAAATTGAAACGATGAGAAGTTGTACTACATTAGGGTTCTAACTTCTTAACAAGGGTTTACTTGTTATTTTAAAGTTTCACAAGCCTAATGGGAAATTAATTCATCATATGCAGTACACTTCGCGACAACGCTGCTATTGTATATGGACAAAAAAAATGAGAATGCAAATAAAACAAGCCATTCCTCAGAGGGACCTCGCTATTATAACAAGTTCTCTAATACATCTTATGGTGAAGGCTGCCTTTGTTTCATTGTGAAGCAGCCACACAAAGCCAAAGTTCAAGTTAGCAGTGACTCCAGAAACCAGACCCTGAACAGTTCATTTCAGGTTCCATGTTTGTGTGTGGTGGTGCGAGCTGTAGTGCAGGAAACCTTACATGGCATTCTCTCACACTCTCTGCCCCTGTCTGTCTGTCTGTCTGTCTGACGGTCCCTCTTTGTTTCTCTTTCTCTGTCTGTCCGTCTCACCCTCTCTCTCTCATCTCTTGTCTCTGTCACTCTGAGCTATTCCTGGATCCCACACTGAGGTGAAAGGAAACAGGAACGGCTGCAGTGGATGTTGGTAGGAGCATTATTTCTCTCCAAAGAGCCACTCTTCCTCTTAAAACACACACACACACACACACACACACACACACACACACACAGTCAATATTCCTGTGTTAATAGCTTTGTTCCCCAGCCAGTTGGGAAGATGTTTTCTCAAACATGCTTGTGTGACGAAAGCCATTCTTGTTCCTGCAGATGGAATGTGTGTGTGTGTTTGCATGTGTGTATTTGCATGTGTGCCTTGCAAACAACAGCTGAAAATGAGTTATGGTCAGTTGGATGGATCTGAGTCAGCAGGGTGCAGATGGGTCCTTTATATTGCCATGTGGAGGAATATTCAAAACAGTAGCACACCCTGCTATCTACCCTTTGTTCAGTCTCCCTTGCACCACAGCACCACTGGGACTCTCCCCAACTCCCTGTTGTGCTTACTGGAACCTTGGCAGCCAGCTGCCATATCGGCCAATTAGGAAAGCTTTTACTAAAGCTCCAGCCAATTGGATTAGTGCTACATTTCCTTGCCAGATGAGACTCTAAATGTGCTGCTGTATGCTAGAATCTGAGAACTGGTGGGCAGACTCTTGTTTCGCTGATAGGCACTGGGCACCAGAATACACACACGCTGCAGAGGCAGTGGCAGAAGGAAGAGACATCTTGTGACGCTACTGAGAGTCCTCTGCTACTGAGCATGTGTTACTGAGATTCTAAACAGTTTAAACTAAGAACATAACATAAAGAAAACCAGAACCCAAGCAGGCGAGGGGCCACGATGCCGCTCCCGGACGTACATAAAACAGACGCTTACACGCTGATTGGTTTGCAGAGAAAATAGCTGAACCAGGCTTTACATGCAGAGCAGACATACAAGGGGACGAGCACAAGAGCACATGATACCAAACATTTTACTTTTTAAATACAACTGTCCCTGAGGTGTCTTACTTATTCTTTACTGTTAAATGTTCTTAGGGAGGAGTTTGTCCTTATCAGAGCTGAGTATTTAAAGGCAGAGCGTGATGTATGCTGTGCAAATTGTAAAGCCATCTGAGGTAAATTTGTGATTGGCGCTGTCTAAATAAACCTGACTGGACCTGACTTGAAAACAAATAAAATGCTGTTTGTTTACCTGGCCGAGTATCAGAACAGATCAGAACAAATTTACTTGACAAAATTGTGCTTTTCTGGTTTGTGGCTGTTATTCTACTGTCACCTCACTGTGTTTGTGTTTGTCTTTGCCATGCATGCTCAGTGCACCTACGTGTTACCAATTTCCTGTGTCCTTAAAGGAACAGTTCACCCACAAATGATCACTTGAATATCAATTACTCACCCTGTATTAAATTGAATTTGTGGGATAAAAAAAGTCCACAGTGAATGAAGAATCCAAAAAGGAGGACCGCCTTTATCAGCAGCTAAACTACACCTAAACATCCATTTACAAACTCTAATACACATCATGGAGTACAATATCATTTATCCAGTTGTATGCTTAACATGCTACTTCCCACACACATGCATTTTCGCTAAGACCTTACTATTTAAAACATTTCCACATAAAAGGTCTCATGCATGGATGAGTTGCATCCCTGAGCAAGCCCATGCATTTAAGCTCTGCTCAGTGGAATACACGAGCAGATTTCAACCGCACATGCTTGCCCAGGCACGCTATTCGCATGTGGAAGTGTATTAAAAATTAAGATTTTAGCAATAACAGATGAATAACACTTGGATTAAACGGCACAAGTTGCTTAAGAGTTTGTAAATGGATGTTTTGATACAATTCTGTTGCCCCCATTTACTCCAGTTCTTGTGGAGGCATGCGAGAAAAACAAAGTTTAGCGGACAGTTCAGCGTAACACAGGGTTAGTATTTAATATACAAACGGGCATTTTGTGGGTGAAGTATTCCTTTAATCTGAGAATCTGAGTTCCATTAGTGGAAATTAAATCAATTTCTACATCCATTGAAGCAATTCAAATCCATTGAACTTCAATCACCGTTTGATACCAGGATCAAACAGCAAAAGCTAAATATAGATTGGTACAAAGCCCTATTTTATATGGAAATCATCTTATAAAATCTGATTGAATGTGCTTTTTAACTCAGGAATAGAACCTGGAGGGAAAATATCAACCGGTGAGCAGGAATGTCAAATAAACTAACTAAATAATGCAATAAATCAAGTCTAAAATCCTTGTCTGCCTAAAAAAAAAAAAAAAAAACAACAAAGACATACAAAAAGGGGATAGAGATACTGAGCAAAATGAGTGTACCACATTTTCCCAAAAAAAATGAGGACAGAAATAAAAAAATTAAATACCAAAAGATTCTGGGAGAAAGAAATACTGAGAGCGACAAAGACAGATTGTGCATCGTGATCGTACAACACCATCTCGCTCTCTCCCTCCTTCTCATCCTCTTATCTCGTCGATACTGATAGAGAGTTCACTGCCAAGTCAATGCTTACGAGAAAGAGGCTGTGAAAGTGCTGGTGGGGCCTGGAGCGTACACACTCAACCACACAGGTACACACACACACACACACACACACACACACACACACACACACACACACACACACTTTCTCTACCTGCCCTATTCCTGGTACTCTGCTCACTTTGGAAGGCTGCCGCTGGATACATAAATACACACAAGGAAAGGAGCAAGACTGCAAAATCACTGACAATCTCACAAACACACACATAATAATCCATCTCTCTCTCTTTCATAAAGCCCACTGTCAAAGCACAAGAGCAGCATTATATGTCCGTAACAAGCAACAACTCTGTTTCCACTCTATAAATCAACTTCATCTAAGCAATTAAAGCAAAGGGCTGGGCGTTGAAACAATGATACCCCACATTTCACTCTAAGCAGGGCAGGTGTGGCTCCTGCAGATGAAACAGGGTGGAGCAGGGTGGAGCGGACCAAAATAACCCCAGAGGCAACAGGCCATTAGTCAAGCCTGGAGACCACCAGGCACAAATAGCTGATAAACGACTGAAACCAGCACAGACCAGTGAGAAGCACTGGACCACAGCAGAAACCAAATACAGCTCAATTACTCAGTGAGTGAATACAATGTTTGGAAAGTTTAACATGACACTGTACACGCAGGCGTGAAGACCTTTGTACACTGACAAGCTGCTCTGCCTGTTGTGGGCTCTCCAAGACAGAAAAACAAGGTGTTAGTTTATGATTATATGGCTACTTAACAGGTTCAGGTACGCCAACAAGCTGGTTCAGCAAGAACAGAGATCAGCATTTCTTTCTTACACTGTCACTCACCTCAACCCGCGCGCGCGCGCGCACACACACACACACACGCGCACACACACACACACACACACACACACACACACACATACACACATAAAACACATAAGGTAAATTGTTTGAGGAAATAACCTCGATGATGAAACCTGGTGCTACAATAACTTACTTTTGGTTCCCTAAAAGCAGTGCCTCGTGCAGGTTAAAAAGGGGAAATGAGAAAAGTACTGAAACAACTGAAACACCAGCCGATTGAATAAACAACTGTCACCTTAACCTCCAATAACCAAGTGTTAGAGAAATGTTTAGGTTAAACAGACCTCAGTGGGTTTACATACGGTCGATATCCCGCAGCACAGTGCGGAAGTGGATTATCAGACACCTGCTATAAGAGATGAGCCGCAGTCAGGTCTCCTCATCTCAGTTTGTTCTTCACAACATACCGTAATTCACCTGAACGCATCTTCCGCAAACACAATGTGAAGAAAGTTTATCACGTGTGAATTTCCTCTTTTTGTTCTGGCCACGGAAAAGAGCGAACGCAAACATGGTTAAAAAGATAAAGAAACAACAACAAATAAAAAAGAAGTATGTCCTAACGTCTAAGCGCACGCGAGAGATAAAACAAACTGGCCAAACTCGTGCCGGTAGCATTTTCTCTCGCGCGCTGAACATGCATGTCAAACAGGAAAAAACAACCCCAGAAATAAAATATAAACCAACTTACAGTGAAAGCAATAAGCCGCTGAGAGTCCGTCACCGCTAACCCAAACATAGAAATCCAAAAGAAGCGAAAATCCGAGCTCAATCCGACAAGTGAGCGCGAGCCGACCTTAGCTGTCACCGTCCAGCCGCAACGAGGAGAAGTCACAGACTACTTGTGCCTTAACAACCGAGGAGGCGAGCGCGAGCGCGGAGCCGCCTGCTGGTTTCTCCTCTCTCGCACGAGACAAGAGAAAAGAGGGCGAGATCCCTGGAGATGAATGGTGGCGGCGGTGCGCATGCGCGGACGAGGTCGATTCATTCCGGTGGAGCAGGAGCAGGGGCTGCGAAACGGCAGAACACATAGCAGGGGCAAAATGCGCCGCATTTATTCATTTGTTTGTTTGTTGACGATTTATTTATGTTTCTGAGGAAACAGTTGAGACAAACAGAGGAGTAAACAAACGCAGAGCTGCAGAAAACACTACAAATGCTGCTATTAACACAGTGCATTTAATTTAATTAATTTACGAGGAGCTACAACTATTGATTATTTCACCATCAATTAGCGTGTCAATATTTCAGATTTATCTATGGAGGCTGTAACATGTCAGAAGATGCTGACAAATGTTCATGACAAGTTCCCTAGGTGCTTATTTTGTTAGTTTACCACTCCAAAAGTCAAGGATTTTCTTTTAACAGTTATATAAATCAAAGAAAATCCGCACATTCTCACAGTTAAGATGCTGATACGTGAGTTTATAACCTAAATGCTTGATTCAATAATTCTCTGTTAGGAGGCTAATTGATTTTTCCCTTATACTGTCTTTACCAAAACAATAAAAGCCTTTTTATGGCAGCTTAAACTGGACAAAATTAAAAATGCAGCAGGCTTTTATACAAATGCAGAGCATTCATGATTAGAAAGAGCATATGAATACACAGTTTTTGACTCCCTCTCCATCCAACAGAAGCATTACTCTCTCCCAGACAGTCTTATAAATAATTCAGCAATAAAAGCTTGCCTCTGCTTGCCTGGTTGCATGCAGCACCCAAAAGAAGCCACTCACCCCCCCCCCCCCCCCCCCCCCCCCCCCCCCCCCCCCCCCCCGTGCACGGCGTCAATCTATGCGGGCGTTACCAATTAAAAAAAAACAAAATCTCGGAGCAAAATAAAGTTCAATCAAGATTCTTGTTTCGCAAATGGCTGTGGCCGGTCAGCCAGATCAGGCAGGGATTACAAGGCTTCTGTCAACTATCAATAGCCTCGTGTTCCTGCAAGAGACGAGAGGGGGAGAGGAAGAGGAGGTGGGGGTGGGAGGAGCGGGATGGCTGAGTTTCAATGCGCAGACGGTGCAGAGCCAAGCAGCCGATGATGCTGTTTGTCCTGTCCGCGGACCGGAGGAGAGCAGAGAAATCAACCCGCAAGCGACGACAAATGTAATCCAACACATCCCTGTCCCGGAGCCCCGCATCTGAAACACCCCCCACAGATCAGCTGTGAGGACATGACGGCACAAGAAGTGTAGCCTACAGCCAGGAGAATAAACATAAGCCATTTACCTGCTCACCGTTCCCGTTCAGCCCGCCGTTATTACTTCCCACTCACTGTGGCTTTCAGCGCTGCCGCTCACTCCGGGCTGCTCGCCGCCGAACGGGAATTTAGACAACAGGATTTGTTCACGTGGTCACGCTCGGTGCTCCTAATTGGCGGAGCGGCTCGCGCCCGCTGCTCGCTCGCACCTGTACGGTGAACGGTACAACGGTGCAGGAGGGGGGAGAGACAGACAGCAAAGAAAACAGATTGGTGCAGAATTTATCCTTGCATAATATGGAGCGCTTCCCGGTGTGTGTGTGTGTCAGAGAGAGGAAACTAGGAGCTTTTACATTATTTTTGTAAACCAAAACAGAGGTTGAGTATACCTTCCTGAGACTCAAACTTTTGTTTAGTATGCTTTTTTCTGTAGCCTACAGTGGTCTTTAATCAAATTTTTGTTGCTCTGTGTCTCTCTGAGGTAATTGAGTGTCTTTTTTTGGTTGTTTCAGGTCTCTTTGTAGTCATTTTGTGTCTCTTTGTGATTGTTCTGCCCATTTTTGTAGCTATTTTGTGTCTCTGTGCAGTGTCCTTGCATCTTTTCATGGTCATTTTGGGCCTCTTCTTGGTTGGTTCTTGTTCATTTGAGTGACATTTTGAGGGAGAAGGCCAGGGGGTGGCCTGGGACTTTGCCCAGTAGACCCATTCAGTAATCCACCCATTGAATTCAACTGTAATTATTACAGCTTTTTAAGTCTAACTGTAAGTTTTTCCACTTTGCTTATTCATTTCCAATACAAAAATACATTTTTATCAACAACTTAACAACAACGAACTTTTGTTTGGTATGCATTTTTAATTTCTTTTAGCTATTTGGGATCTGTAGGAGCTGATAAGTATAAAAAACTAAATATTATCAATGATAATAAAGTCCTAATGTCCTCAGATGAGAGAACAATAAAGTCCCAATGTCCTCAAACAAGACGATAATAAAGTCCCAGTGTCCTCAAACAAGTACTTCCTAATTAACAGTGTCTTAGCTTGTTACTGTCACTACTGACCTGATTACAATTACATTTATTTTGTCATTTAATTACAAGTAACTGGTCATTTCCCAACACTACAGTAAGTAAAATCAGATAAACCTACTGTTTGTAGAGAACTAACCAGCTGTTCTTGTAAACCTTTACTGTTTGGAGAAAAACTACAGAGTGATCACAAGTAGCATTTATTAAGAATGAAAAGACATTCTCAAAATACAAACAAGTTGTCAGGGCATACATTTTACACCTTGAGTCCGGAAGGTTAAATGTCATAGCTTCACATAAAATAATAGATTGTTTTTAACATTTTTGTATAGCCACCTTTTGTGTTAGTCTCAGATGAAATGCATTTTTGAAATAATTCTGTACTTCATTACGCTCTGCTAAAAGTCATGGCATGCATTACCTATGTTTTTAATCATGGTTCAATCTCTGAGTAACCTTGGGTGTAGTATTCGGGTATTCAAAGACATTTACACTATAAACTGATGCAGAACAGGCACAAATTCGTGCATAAAAATTCACCAGAATGCAGGAAATTAAGTGTTTAATGCTCAAAATTTTCTGGCAGAGGATCCCAAATCCAAATGTTTCATGTGTGTCCCTTCCAATGTTGAAATGAAACCAAAGCCCTTGTGAGTAACACGCTCGCCTCTTGTTAAAGACATCTTAATCTCAATGAGACTCTCTGAATTGCTAAAGCTTAACCAGCACACTAACAACTGTGGCAAATTAAAAATTAAGATCTAAAAATCATTCACACTTGGCTCTGTGGATACTCTACTTTGGGCTTGAGCGCGTCTGTTACTGCACATCATGGTAACAGCAATGACTGATTCATGGATGCAGCCAGTCTTTATTGTAACATTAACAACATTAGTAACATCTGTCACACATCTGTCATTTTCATGACAGAAGGGTTATCATGGCTCTATTTTGAGTGTCATACAAACAGACATATTCCCATTTACAAACCAATAAACCTTATAACACAGACACATATACATGACCGAGCATCTGACATAAATCACATGATACTAACACAACCACAGACAATCCATGTACCTGAGCTGCCCCAATACTGCACTGTTTTCTGCTCACACTTGTATTCAGCATGGGCAGATTATGAGACAGTGGGCTCCTGGGTACAGATATGCAAAATGGTCACCTCTCCTACATAGTTGCTTCTATGTAGGAGAGGTGGCCATTTTGCATATCTGTGCCCAGACAGACAGACTTTGTGTTGGTTTTGCCTGTCTCTGTTGTTTTGCATTGCTTTGAGCCCTTTTCCAATAACACGAGTGTATATACAGATTTTAAAACATGGGTAAATTTGCTAAAAATAGGCTATAGATTCCTTTCCCATTGCCAGTAGACCATGGCCATGACCACCATACACGGCTTTGTAATATGCCTTTCTGTTCAGGTTTTTTTCTGTTTTTGTGTGTGTGTGTGTGTGTGTGTGTGTGTCACGTTCAACGTCACGGACAAGCTGGAAAACAGGATGGTCAACAGTAGAAAACAGCATGGAGGCTTGTGAAACTCCGCGGTGGATACTTCTCTTTTATATCTTTTCCTTATTTAGTCTCTCTTTCAAACTTTCTTTCATTCATTCATTCATTTTACGTAAGCCTTTCCCAGCTGACATTGATGGCGAGACGAGGTACACCCTGGACAGGTTGCCAGACTGTCACAGGGCTGACACATAAGCCCCTTTTACACTGCCAGATTTTCGGTGAATGTTGGGCAGTTTTGCTGGCAAGCTGTGAGCGTTTAGACACACAGAGTCAGATTGGCGAGTTGATCCAAGGTGCCCAATTTTCCGCCTCTTAGGGTATTTTTATTTATATTTATTTATCATTTATTATTTATATTAGCGGAACCTTTTTGGTTTAAACAGAACAAGGTGGCCTTCCACCCTGGGAGGGGCTCTTGAAGACTTGTGGGAGGAGCTATTGATGACGCTGCAAGTGCGACCCACTGGCGGTGGACAGGAAACAGCTGATAGCAGGACTAAGCAAGCAGCTAATAGCAAGAGGGAAACACAAACCTATCAGACACTGTAAAGATGAGCAACTGGGGAGACAAAGTATTGCACGCCCTCCTTGCCCTCGCAAACGAAAAGGTCATTAACCGTCAGATGACGGGTCGGTGAAGAACGGGCCAATTTACAAGAGAATCGCCGAAGGCCGCGGCTCCCCTCCCACGTCACTGTTTACATCACATGCTGAGCTACACATTTTGTTACTTGCTCACGCCCCCCCATTGCTCCGTAAAAGGCGCATTCTGTACAAACAAAATTAGGTATGCAGCATTTTGCCGCACTCCCCGATTTTGTTTTTATACTGCCAATGCTGAAAAAAGACTGATTGGGCTTTCCTGCAAATTTGCACAATTCCTATCTAAAAAGGGCTTTAGTCTCTCATTCATACTTTCATTCATTCATTTTCCGTAAGCCTATGCCAGCTGACATTGGGCGGGAGCTGGGGTGCACCCTGGGCTGACACATAGAGACAGACAACCATTCACACCTACAGCCAATTTAGAGTCACCAATTAACCTGCATGTCTTTAGACTGTGGGAGGAAGCCGTAGTGCCCAGAGAAAACCCCTGCTGACATGGGAGAAACATGCAAACTCCACACAGAAGGGC